ACAAAAAAAGAAACATTTTAAAAAGCATTACACAATATGTATTAGTTGTCCACCATAACGAGACTGACCAAAATGTTGACATAAAAAATGCAATTGAAATCAAAAAAGAAAATCTCTATCTATAAATGGCAGGATGTGTGTGGGGGGTGTAACGAATGCACGGCCGCAATTTTTGGCGGATGTGCACTAAAATTTACATGCACATGCTCCAAGTTAGCGGGAAGGCCAAGACCGACTTTGCATTTCCCGGCTCCCATCGATAGTGGAAACAATCGATTTTTTCATGCTTCTACGGCAGTTTTCATGTAGTTTGCGGCCATCTTCTACTGGCCAGAGTGAGAGCCTATAGCTGGCTGCCACGAATAGGCAGGAAGATTCTATTGGCCAGCGTGAGAGCCAACAGCTGACACGAATGTTAACTAGCATGCTAGCATGCAAAAAAAAAAAGATCGATAGCTGCATTCGTCACAAGTGGGAAAAATTTAAATCTGCATGGCACTTTACTCCAATTGGCTCATTCGCTTGCTTAAACTCAACGTTGATTCTGATTCCGCAGAACCGGGTTGGGTGTGAAAATGTATTTGTTGTTAACATTCTTTTTTCATTCGGTTTTTCCAGTTAGGAGTCCTTTTTTAAAGCTTATCGTTTTGTGTTCATTTTGTTTAGTTCTTTTTTCGTAACAGATTTAATGTTTAGTATAGAGCTTAGAAAGAAATTCGCAGTGTGAGGCAAGAAGTAAGACATGTAGCAACATCAGCACGGCAATGGACACTCCTTTAAAGGCAAGGAAGGGCAAAAATATTTCAAGTCAAGTGATAGCGATTGCTGTATGAGTCGTACGATTTTTGAATCAAGGACGGCCAACGCTGGGCCATGCTGCTAGTAATTCACTAAGACGAAGATATTTAGAAAGTGTTTTGATCGCTCTTTCACCTACAGTTAATTTGCGTCCCGGTTTCTAAAACATTTCACCATTCTTGGCAGACCGTCTATTGTCGGAATGTCGGATGTTTAATAAAAAAGATGATGGAAACAAGAATAACAAGAAAAATATTCACGCTACAACTTTCATACATATATATATATATATATATATATATATATATATATATATATATATATATACACATACATAACAATGGTCAGCTTCTTATTTCCAAGAAGACCCGTCTGCAGACCCCTACTAGGGCGCATTATTGTTTGATCAAAACCCTCATTACCCACCTGTGGTTTATAGTTGTTTAGGGGTTCTCCCCTTTTTTTACACAAATGGACTCACCCAGGTTATACATATACTACTGCTAATGAATACCCGGGAGAAGAACGAGAAAGAGCGACGAACCAGAACGAACGTAAAGAGCAAGAGTCACAGTGAGCATGCGCGTAGACTCAGTAAGAAGTCAGACAGTGATACGTCGATATCAAAGACTGTATATATATTTTGCTACTGACCCGCATTCCTGGAACTACTAACCTGCATTACCAGTTTGTATTATTACTGTTAAGAGGTCCATCCCTTTTTATACAAGTGGACTCGCTCAGTGTGTACTTATACTGCTGTCGGTGAATACCCGGAAGTGATACAGTCAAAGAGTTAGAGTGTGAGGTAACCGCTTTGTAGGACTCACAGTTGCGAGCACGTAGACTCAGAAAGAAGTCATACTTCGATACTGAATTTCCCAGACTGATATTATATATAGACTATATATATATATATATATATATATATTATATATATATATTATTATTGCTACTAACCGCATTTCTGGATCTACTAAACGTATTACCAATTGTATTATTACATCAATAAATTTATTTGCTAAATTTCATTCCTGCGTTTGTCATTCATTTTGAGACCCGGTTTAATCCCGGAATCCACAACAATTACATTAATAGATTTATTTTCCTACATTCCTCCTTGGCGTTTGTTATTTATTGGTACCGGATTTCATCCCGGAATCCACAACAGTAGTGAAACTCGACTGTGTGTAGCTTAGTTACAGTTTCTGGGAAGGCCAGTAAGTTCAAGTTGTTTCTCACGATGACTTTTTACTTTACGCTCGCACAACGATGGAGCCAATTTCACTTACACGGTCTCGGTCAAGCAATGGTATATTTTTCCGATACTTTCCAAAGGTGCCATCCCTCCACCCAGGATGATAACATCAAGAATTAATCATCCTGAGATATTGACCATGGTGAGATTCGAACCAGAATCTAATCGTTGGAAAGAGAATATTTTAAACACTCCATTATGTGCACGTGCATACATGTTTCTCTGATCCTCACGGGTCACACATGACACTCTCAGTCGCGGAAAAAACTACTGGGTACATAAAACTGATATATATATGCATACATATATATATATATATATACATATATATATATATATATATATATATATATATATATATATATATATATATATATATATATATATATATATATATATATATATACATACGTATATATGTGTGTTTATGCGTGTGTGTGTGTATGTGCGTGTCTGCGTAGAGCGTTAAAAGTAATTTACTAGTAGGGGGGTTATAAATACGTGTATGGGGTTATAAATACTTTACTAATCGTCAATTTTCAATGTTGGATATCTTTAGTTAAGGTGTGGGAAAAATTTGCAGTTGTTATAATTAAAATAAAAGACCTTTATATATATATATATATATATATATATATATATATATATATATATATAAAATATAAAAACACTAATATCAATATGGAATATTAGTGTTTAAGCCTTTTTATTATATCCTTACTCTGTCCTGGACATTGAGTTCTACCTGGATTCTATCCTCTTGGAATTTTTTATTCAAAAAATATACATGTATGTGTATGCATCTATGTATATATATTTTGCATATGTATGTGTATATTTACCACTAATATATATACATACATACATATATATATATATATATATATATATATATATATATATATATATATATATATATATATATATATATACATATATGTATATATATAATGTAAAATGACAGGTAAAATTTAACTGGATAGTGGTGCCGCGCATCAAACCCAGATTTGTGCAAAACAGTGTTTTTATGATTAATAGTATATATATATATATATATATATATATATATATATATATAGAGAGAGAGAGAGAGAGAGAGAGAGAGATAGATAGATAGATAGAATAGTTTAACCTGTTTCAAATACCACTTTGTACGATCAATAGTCTATCACAATAGTTTGTAAAACACTTTTACTCATCCCTGTCTACCAAATGTACTTAATAATTACAGTATTATATATATATATATATATATATATATATATATATATATATATATATATATATATATATATATATACACACAAATGTACGAGTGTGTGTTTTGTAAATTAAGGTAGCGTTTTATGCGTGTATATTAATTGATAATTATGCAAAACACTAAAAGAAAATCGTTCTAACCTAGAGAGGTTGTCGTGATGTAAAAGAAATGAAGACAAATTGAACATGGAGGAAAGAAAGATTGAAAACAAGAGGAAAATAAATGAACCAAGAATGGAAGAATTTGTGAATTTATGATTGATTTATAAATTATGCAGCAAGTGTCGCTGTTTTTTCATGGACCATTTCCATGATTAATCAGCGATGTGATCGGAAGAGTCGATCAGTAGAATGCGGATAACGGAAAATGAAAAGTGTTGTAACGCATGATTAAGAAGAATAATTGAAAAGAATAGAGGATCAACGAAAGAAATAAATAAAGAAAGAAAGAAAGAAAGAAAAATGTCTGAAGTATGCGAAGAAAATAATAGTTGTCAAAGAAAGAAAGAAAGATGAAAGAAAATAGTATGAATTATACGAAGAAATTAAAAGTTGTCAAATAAAGAAAGTAAGAAAGTCGAAAGAAAAATATTTGAATTAATGCGAAGAAATTAAAAGTTATTAAAGAAAGAAAGAAGGAAAGGAAAGAAGAAAGAAAGAAAAACGACAGAAAATTTACTGAATTATGCGAAGAAATTAAAAGTTATCAAAGAAAGAATGAAAGAAAGAAAAATGAAAGAATGAATGAAAGACAATCGTAAGAAAGAAAGACGAAAAATATCTGAATTATGCGAAATTAAGTGTTGTCAAAGAAAGAAAGATGAAAGAAAATTGTATGAATTAAGCGAAGAAATCAACAGCTGTCAAAAAAAGAAAGAAAGAAAGAAAGAAAAATATCTGAATTATGCGAAGAAATTAAAAGTTGTCAAAGAAAGAAAAACAACAGAAAATTGTCTGAATTATGAGTAGAAATTATAAGTTATCAAAGAAAATCGAACGAAAGAAAATCGAACGAAAGAAAATCGAACGAAAGAAAATCGAAAGAAAAATGTCTGAATTATGAGAAAAAATTAAAATTTTTCAAAGAAAGAAAGAAAGAAAAAAGAATGAATGAAAGAAAATAAAAATAATTAGGAATGAAAAAAGTAAAAAAGCACGACGTGGAAGAAATGAAAGAAGAGTAATATATGTAAGCATGTTGCAAATATACTAAAATTGTCTGAGAAAGATCGAAAGAAGGAAGAAAGAGAGAAATGAAAGCTGAGATAATGAATATAAGAAATATCCAAAGAATGTAAATAAAAAAATATTCAAAGAAAAATAAAAGGAATTAAAAGAGACAGAAATTAAGAATGGCAGGAATTAAAAAATGTTCTAAGAAAGAAAAAAGAAGAGTGAAACATGTAAGAATAAAGCAAAAGAAAAATAAAAGACTGTTTAATAAGAAGAATGTAAGAAAAAGAAAGAAACAAATAACACACACAAAAAAGAAGGTGAAGAGAAATAGTTTAAGAATTCGGGGGAAATAAGGGAAAGTGTAAGAAAAAGAAAGAGAGAAAGAATGTAAGTATGATAGGGAAGTGTATAAAAAGAAAGAAGGGGAGGAGAGAAGGGATAAAGAAATTAAAGGAGAGAAATTAAAGACCAAAGAGAGAAGAAAGGATGTCGGAATTATGCGAAGAAATTAAAAGTTGACATAGAAAGAAAGCGAGAAAGAAATAAAGCAAGCAAGAAAGAAAGCAAGCAAGAAAGAAAGAGGATATAAATAATTAAAGAGAGAGGGAAAAAATGAAAATAAAAAAATGATCAAAGAAAGAAAGAAGAAAACGTGAAAATGAAAGAAAGTAAAACATGTCTAAGAAAGAAAAGTGAAAAAATATTGAAATATGTTAAAATGATTCAAGAAAAAATTCAATTTCCTTAAAAAGAATAAAAGAAAAACACCTAAAAGCTAAAAAATGTGAAGAAAAACGTAAAAAGGTCAAATAATGCAGAAAAAAAAAAAAGAAATTTAAATTTAAAAAAAGAAATTTTAAAATTAAAAAAAGAAATTAAAAAAACCCAAAAGAGAGAGGAGTGGAATATGTGAGAGCGTTGTAAATATAGCAATGGTTTTTTGATGAAAAAATTAATGAAATGTTGCGAATAGACTAAGGACAGATCTAAGAAAGACTGAGATGAAAAAGAAGGAAGAAACTGGAGAAAAAGAATATATGAATGGTACGAAGAATGTATAATGATCTAAGAAAAAAGAAAGAAAGAAAGAATGAAAGAAAGAAAGAATGAATGATTGAATGAAAGAAAGAAAGAATGAATGAACGAATGAATGAATGATAGAAAGAATGAATAAAAGAAAGAATGAATGAATGAAAGAATGAATGAATGAATGAAAGAAAGAATGAATGAAAGAAAGAATGAATTAATGAAAGAAAGAAAGAATGAATGAAAGAAAGAAAGAATGAATGAACGAATGAATGAATGATAGAAAGAATGAATAAAAGAAAGAATGAATGAATGAAAGAATGAATGAATGAATGAAAGAAAGAATGAATGAAAGAAAGAATGAATGAATGAAAGAAAGAAAGAATGAATGAAAGAAAGAAAGAATGAATGAACGAATGAATGAATGAAAGAAAGAATGAATAAAAGAATGAATGAATGAAAGAAAGAATGAATGAATGAAAGAAAGAATGAATGAAAGAATGAATGAATGAATGAAAGAAAGAATGAATGAATGAAAGAAAGAAAAAATGAATGAATGAAAGAAAGAAAGAATGAATGAATGAATGAAAGAAAGAATGAATGAATGAAAAGAATGAATGAATGAATGAATGAAAGAAAGAAAGAAAGAAAAAAAATGAATGAATGAAAGAAAGAATGAATGAATGAATGAAAGAAAGAAAAATGAATGAATGAATGAAAGAAAGAATGAATGAATGAAAGAATGAATGAATGAAAGGAAGAAAAAATGAATGAATGAAAGAAAGAAAGAATAAATGAAGGAATGAATGAATGAAAGATTGAAAGAATGAATGCATGAAAGAAAGAAAAAAGAAAGATTGAAAGAAAGAAAGAATCAATGAAAAAAAGAAAGAAAGAATGAATGAATGAAAAAAGAAAGAAAGAAAGAATGAATGAAAAAAAGAAAGAAAGAAAGAATGAATGAAAGAAAGAAAGAAAGAAAGAAAAAATGAATGAATGAAAGAAAGAAAGACTGAATGAATGAAAGAAATAATGAAAAAAGAAAGAAACAGAAATCAGAATGACAAAAAATGAAGAAGCAAAAAGATGAATGATGAGAAAAGCAAAGAAAGACGAACGAAACAATGAAGAAAAATATAAAGGAAGAAAAAGAACACTCAAAACAATGAAAAAGAATACTATTGAATATCTAAAGAAAACAATCTAAAAGTCATGTCAGATTGGCTGCTGTTTTTACATCTGATTAATGCTAAAAAGCACTATCCAAGTGACAAGGACGTTGACTCTTATTGTTTTTAAACTCTAAGCTGCTCTTTCTATGGTAAAATCTAATAGAATAGATATCACTTGATCAATCAGTGAATATACTTTTGAGAAAATACTAACAATATATCATAATTCTGTAAAAAAAAAAAGAACAAAGAAAAACGTATTCGTAAAATCTGAATATTTGACGCTAGAGTTCAGAGTTTATTTCGTCCTGGGTATGACGATGAACTACATCAGGCAGCAAAGCCTCTGATAGGGATGTTTTCAGGAGCGTCTATCCCAATACTCATAAATACGTTAAACACTGTCGTAAGTGGGAGTAATATGTTAAGTAGTCCACCACTAGCAGTGGTTTACCTACTTCATGCCGCTGGCGAGTATTGTATTTTGTTGATGTCATAAAGCTTAGCATTTCATTTCCAACCTCCGTTTTGGTTATTCCTCATTCAGTAACCTTTCCTAGGTTGCAGCAGATAGATAGATAAATATGGACAAACTAAGAAAGATAATAACAGAGGGTACATAGATATTTAATCTATTTAGATCTTTGGGACTGTTGTTCCCATATTTATTGCCATATTCACGACGTTTCGGTCGGTGTACGATCTGACCTTCTTCAGGTGATGTACGGTTTTCGAACCGAAACCTTCATTGACACTATGTTCTAGCTTGTATTTGGTCTCTTTCTTCCTCTGACTTACTAGTTTTATTTCAATAATTTATCAGTAATTGACTGATTTGAAAAATCATTATAATTTTTTTTAATTTAAAATGCGAAAATGATTATTGTTGTGGTAGGATCCACCTAAATTGCATAGTGGAGTACCGACCATATAAATATTGTTGGTACCGGGAAGAGAGGGAGGAATCAAGAGATTCAACCAGAGACTCTGCCCGACTGCGACTCAGTCAACACATTCTCCAGGAACGGTCTTACCAGGAATATACAAAAGACTATATGTAAATATTGTGTACACTTTCTTGTTTCAATACATTTTGTTCTAAGTACATTTTGTGTTGCATTATTATTCCATGCATTAGTCAAGTTTCAACAATTATTAACCTAATGTAACCTTAATTTTAATTGTATTATATGTATGCATGTAGTATATATATATATATATATATATATATATATATATATATATATATATATATATATATATATATATATATATGATTAGCCGTGGACCCGTTAACATAAGCAGTACCAAAATTGATAAAAACAGATAGGTACAAACCGAGAGAAGAAAAAAAAATAATAAGAATGAACTGAAAGGACATTTTTTTCTTTTCTTTTTTTTTTTACGAGCGGACCCGTTAACTTAAATACTGCCAAAAATTGAGATAAACAGATAGGCACAGAGAGAAGAAAAAAAAAGTTAAAGTAAGGACTGATGGATAAAAGGCAGTCTAATGAATGCGAATCTACAAAAATGATTCCAGCTATTATTTACGTTTTTTTTTGTTTTTTTTTTTTTTTTTTACGAGCGGACCCGTTAACTTAAGTAGTACCAAAAATTTATATAAACAGATAGGTACAAACCGAGAGAAGAAAAAAAAAAAAAAAGAAAAATATTAAACAGACAGAATGAAAGATTTTCGTTTTTGAAAACTAACACCGATTGCCAATGATGTAGGAAAACTCCGCCATGCTCTCATAGAAAACACTCATAGGTAGAGAGACTGACAAAGGAATAATGAATCGGGAAGGCATTTGCTCGCCTGTGCACGGTAAGGTAAACTTCCGATTGTTCGTCAAGTTATGTCAATGTATCGCAACCCGTTTTCCAGATATTAAATATAGGTTGATATGTACAGGAAAAAAAAAAAACCTTTTAGTATATCATTCGATCCATACACAAATACATTTGCTAAAAAGGAGACACATTAACAAGATGTATCAAGAAATCTTACAATGATTTTTCATTGTGCTAATATGAGCTTCGGGTTTTTGCAAAGAGCTGGCCAAGTGAACGCTCGCATTTTACTGAACAATTTACTAAATTGCTGCAACCATTTTAGATAAACAAAATGCAGGATTACAACAGGCTTCGTGACAAATTCCTATTCTTATTTTGTAAACATGAAGCAGAAACAGGAAAAAATATCAATCGGTTGCTTCCATTCAATTACAAATACACACGCACACAGACACACACATAAACACACACACACATATATACATATATACACACACATATATACACACACACACACACACACACACACACACACATATATATATATATATATATATATATATATATATATATATATATATATATACTTTAATAATATTCTTATTATCATGTTTTTTTTATTGAGATTATTTCTTCGAATAAAATGATTTTCTTTCTGATACTATTTTTTTTAAACATGACGTCATCCCGGGGAGGAAATTGCTGATAGGTAAGTAATATTGAAGCCAATGTAGGTAAGGCAATTTTAGATATTTCCATTCTTTGAAGTCAGTGTGAAGCATTCGAAAGTCAATCTTGGAAATTTCGGCGATAAAGCAAGTGACAAAAAGATTGGCAAATGAGGTGAATAAAATGCGTGATAAATTTTATTCAATAATGAGAGAGTTGAAGAAAGAAAAGAAAAAATCTATAAAAAAAAAAAGAACAAAAAAAAACAAGAATATTGCAGTCAAAAAACCGACAATGTCGTGACATTCGATGAAAATCATATGATCCGTTGAACAAATAGTTAACATAGGAAGCTATGGAATTGAGGATGAAAATCCTACAACAATGAATGGATGACGTAAACAGGTGAAAGAAAAGTAAAAAGGTGAATTGATCGCCGTCAATAAGTATGAGTTTATATATATATATATATATATATATATATATATATATATATATATATATATATATATATGAGAAAAAGATACTCCCAAAATATATCTGTTATTATATACTTCAAAGTATATATATATATATATATATATATATATATATATAGATATATGTTTGTGTGTAAATTCGTGTGTGTGTAAATATATATATATATATATATATATATATATAGATAGATAGATAGATAGATCGATTGATTCCGTCTATTCAAATCAACGTGCAAGCGTGTTTACAAACGTAGAGATTTTGACATAAGTTTTCGAAAGTTTTCACAGAAAATAGGCAGACAATTACAAAATATATCAACTACTGACCAGAATTCCCGCATAACACACAGATATACAATACACACACACACAACACACACACACAAACACAAACACACACACACACACATATATATATATATATATATATATATATATATATATATATATATATATATATATATATATATATATTTAGTAATATAAGCCGTTGCCTTGGGTATGACGATAATATACATCCGGTAGCCCGACCTCTGATTGGTAGATTAGACATTTTGAAGAGCGTGTAACCACCTCTTAATTGCTGCTGTTCCAAGGTCCACGCTGACTCGAGCTGGTACCACTTGTCCCAACCATGGTCGGATAGTAAACCCCCAAACACTATGAAATTATAAAATTAGCCTAATTTTTCCCAAAAATACCAGCAATATATTGTTATATATTAAAATTAGCAACAATACCTATTTATAGTAAAATTATCAGGAATACCTATTAAAAATAGAATTAGCAAAAATGCCTTTCCATTTTATCTGTAATCCAATGCACACAGTTGCGTTCAAAATATAATTAGGTAAACCCATAAAATTGTTAAATTATTTAGATTTCGGCGTTAAATAACACATGAAGGTGTTGATATGCCACTAAACAAAATCAATTAACCAAACAACCAACATGAAAGAACCCTTTTATAAGATTAATCCATATAATATCCTACAATTTCTTAAAGAAATCAAACTATATTCCAAAATATAACATCAACAAAACAACACATAACATAAAGCACACATCACAGCCTCTAGTAATAATGTGCACAGAAACATGTATATGCACAAAAGTTGAGTATCTTCTACCATTTATTCAGTTGTGAAAGCAGAATAACATTTATCATATTTTTTTTAATTCAAATATCCCAAGAAATTTAAATTTCGACATTAAATGGCCCATACGGTGTTGATAAGCCGTTAAACAAACAAACCAAACGTATCAACCTACCGAGCAGCCAGTACTGCTTTTGATTGAAGTTTATAAAATTTTTATCTTAAATCAATTTCTCGGGAAAATAGATTTTTCAAGTCCCATAGTTGTTAACGCTCTTTCCACTAGTGATGGTGATTTTCTTCCTAAGTTGTGTGGAATGTCAATATATTGATTATGTCATTACTTTCTCCTCAAGTTACGTGTTATAGAACATAAACTCCTGTATTTTACAGCCAATAGGTGAAGGGCAAATGAAGTAAGAGACACCTATAAATAAATCCAACGAAAATCAGTAGATACGAAAAACTGTAAGTAATGCACAAAAAAAAAACGGCTCCAAAATTAAATAATCGTTTTCTGGAACCTGATTGGATATGAGAAGCCACGTGATGTAATCTCAACGACGTCTGCGCGGTTGAACTCCAAATGACCTGGAAATATGACAGGGCTTGTGTCACGGAGTACGTACCCGCCAAATATCAGATAGATTCCGTAAGCCGATCACCGACTCTACATAAGCGATAAAAACAGCGACCATATCAGAAACAAGACAGTCAACGGACAACTCTGAAACAGAACAGTCAGCGGAGAGATCTGAAACAGAACAGTCAAGAACAGATCTACAAAGACACAGTCCAAGAATGACAGACAGTCAGCAAATCCGACGAGCCTCGATAACACGTTACCATAACAACGCATCAGTCAGTGATTATATTTCTACCTACAGCGTCACGAAGAAAGTTTTGTCTTTTTGTTCACCGTGTTTTATTAGCGTGTGCTTCACACGCACTCACACACACACAGACACACACACACACACACATATTGACGTATATATCATTTAGAAATTTTGCAGAATCACTTGTTACAAATTAACTTCGAACTATTGATCTCTTCACGGCTACAACAAACAACATACATTTTTAACCTATAAATTTATTTTAAGACATTTTATGTTTATACATTCTTTTTATAGATACAAATATTTAAGTAAATGCTCTGTTTATAATAAACAGTATTAAACAACATTTACCAGTCTGAATGTCCGAGAAATTTTCATAGAAAATATTGGTCCTCCGAGAGGATTCGAACCTGTATCTTATACAGAACCGTCATATAGCCTGATGTGCCTTTTAACCGATTGGGCCACAGAGGAGCGTTCGGTTAGCAAGGTCGAATTTACTGCTTTTAAACTTCAATCTTCCATGAATCTCTCACGTACATTTATATCTGCTCATGGCGTATCAAATGTAAACAAATGACGTCACACATTATGAAATAGACAAAGTCCGACAATTATTTTAAGACATTTTTATGCTTATACATTCTTTTTATAGATACAAATATTTAAGTAAATTCTCTATTTATAATAAACAGTATTAAACAACGTTTACCGGTCTGAATGTCCGAGAAATTTTCATAGAAAATATTCATCCACCGAATAACCGAATGCTCCTCTGTGACAAATTGGCGGTTCCGTATAGGATACAAGTTCGAATCCTTTCGGAGGACCAATAATTTCTATGAAAATTTTTCGGACATTCAGGACGGTAAATGTTGTTTAATACTGTTTATTATAAACAGAGCATTTACTTAAATACTTGTATCTATAAAAAGAATGTATAAACATAAAATGTATTAAAATGTCGGACGTGGTCCATTTCATAATGTGTGACGTCGTATATATATATATATATATATATATATATATATATATATATATATATATATATATATATTTGTACTTTATAAATGTCATTGTCATATTTAGCTTGATTTTCTTCCTTTTCTCCGAAGATCATTTCTTTATGTTGTTTATAATTTTGTATTGTAACTTGTGGACATAACACTCGGATTTTATTTTTCCACCTAAAATCTGGGTAGACCGACACTCACAATATATATGTATATATATAGAGAGAGGGAGAGCTGTAGAGTAGATAAATGAAACGGGCAAATATAAGCAGGCATGAACCCGTGTGCGGGTGTGCATATGCAGGGAAGCAAATAAATAATCGTTATATTTATGCATAGGGTGTAAACGTAATAGTGCTCAATTCGGTTGTACGGAGCAAAGATATGTATTAATTAGTACATATACGGGTACCTATGTTTTGAGCGTGTGTAGGTACGCGTATATGTACTAATTATATATATATATATATATATATATATATATATATATATATATATATATATATATATAATACTTTTGTATCGAGCACAATTTTTTTAAAATAATAACAAAAATACTAAAGAACTTTGGATTATTTACCTAACGAGTTCTTTCCTATTTTCTATATATTTTCACACACACACACACACACACACACACACACACACACACACACACATATATATATATATATATATATATATATATATATATAATATATATATATATATTATTAATAGAAGTCTTATAAGTATAAGAAACTATACTCGCTCGAAAACCTTCGGTGTCTTGATTTGCAAATAAACAAGCCAATACCAAAGGGATATAAAAAGGGATAAAAAAAAAGAAAGAACCAAGAACATGTACGTTAGCCGAAAATAATCGTCCAGCCTAGGAGTTCAAGGCCCCAAAAAAACCCAATGCGAGTACCCAA